GCCCCCCCCCCCCCTGCCCCCCTCCCTCCCCTGCGGTGGCATCGACGACCGCTTCTGCATCGCAACGGAACGCACTCCCGTGCCGTATCCTCCCCGCGTCACGTCACCGACAAACGGCTCACCAGTCACCGCTTCCAAACGGCCGCGGCGTTGTCACGTGGGGAAAAAGCTTCCATTATGAGGACTTAACTTCTGTTCGTTTGCAACATCAAAGTTTTTGAAGTAACCAAAAAGAGATGTTGCATGTGTGAGGAATTTGGGATTTGACCATTTATTCTTGTGTAAAAGTTCGCGAGAAACACGATGGTGCCACTGGTTTTCTCTGAAATCAACTCCTAAGCTCAAAAAAAGCTCTCAGGTTGAGGCCGAAATGGAGGGGATATCCCACGCTATCCTCTACATCAAGACAAACTCTCCATGCAAATATAGGGAGCAAATACATTGACAGGGCTGCCACTTTATTTGAGGACTCTGAAGCTGAAAACACGGCAACCCTGCTAATTTACATGGTCTGTGTGACCGTCCTTGTGGAACACGCAATAACGAAACTCAAACTGCAGTTTTATTACGGTTGAACGTTCCTGTTACCTAAATTGAGAGTTCAACCACCATAACCGAAAATACAGCAGATGTGAGCATCATACTTCAGTTCTTACGGCCAAACTATTTTCCAAGTTATGTCGAATTCTATAGGTCGGCAAAACTTGATAATACCAGTTCAAACAAACGTCTAGTTTCTAGATTAAATATTATGGAAGAGATTGGCCAAAATTCATAGTGACTTTACGTTACACCCAGGTTCGTGTGGATGTCCGGTTCTTCCACCTTCCACGCACTAATCATGTAATGCGTACATGAACACTCTTTATCACTCATTACTCCTCATGCGTTACTGATAAAACCATGGGGAAAGAAAGAAACATATATTGCACTACCGCAGTGGATGACGTTAATGATCGTGTTCCAAGCGTCTATACATACATGTAACTATGGATTTAAAAAGGCGTTTGGAAAATTCTTCATATTTTTTGTTGATTCACAGCGGGTTTAATCATAGATCACGACTACTCCAGCTCATGGACACATTTTAAGTAACATTTTGAATATTTGACTTTTAGAACATCGAGCTTTTCATTAGGAAGAAATATTTGACTTTTAGTCAAGGAGGTATTATTCGAGTACTGTTTTTTCAGGTTTTTTTATTTTATTTTAAAGTTGGATATTTCCAATGATCTCAGCGTTAATTTAGATAAAATCGATTAATTTCAGTCTACATTAATTTTTTTATATTTTTGATTCATTTAATTTTTTCAGTATTTATGTTGATGATGGATTTTTTTTTAGTATGACATCCTAACCCTCGTTTAATTCAATTATGCATGATGGTGTGCAAAAACATGAAAAAATTGATTTTTGGAGGAATAGGTTTGAAGTTGAAAAGTACTCGAATCTCAATACGCGGATAGAAAGTGAGACCAACAGACATTCCATATTTTACCCAAACTTACGGTCTGTCACCTTGATACTCTATCCTCTGAATATATCACATAACATGTTCATGTTCAATATTCATGGACCAACTCATCGGTTGGAAAAAAAACCAAGCCAAAAATACAATCCAAAACGGTTTTGGAAAACCACGTGAGTTACCGACAATCCACCGCATTGCAAATCCTCGCCTTGAACTTTTTGCAAAATGCGATGCGTGATATGATTATTTGTCACCTGAATTGACAGCGATCGATGAAAGGGTGTCAAAGAATTTTGATTGCGAGTGTGGATCTGAATGTCGGAGAGGCCGGCATGGGCAGAGCTTTGGTCACTCGGCTCCGAGCTCCTCGGCCGGTCAGACGAAGGCCGTTAAGCTCAAGAATGCTTTCGCTTCGATGTCAAATTGCTGATACGCCTTTTGATGACATTATTTGACTGATTGGTCATTCATCTCTGCTTTGATTAAATCCATCACGTGATGAAAACGTGTCCAAGTTCGTGGGAGTTTCATACTTTCTACATATAGTGTTACTCGACTTTTTAAGAATCGACTTCATATTTCATCAAGAAAAGAAGTAAAATCAAATGGAAAATCTTCGGGAATCAAATACTAGCTTTGCTCCGAAGAACGGTTTTTTTTCTTCTTTTTCTTCTTCTTTTTCTTTGGTAATAACTCGAAGAAATCAAAGTTTTGGAACAAATGTTTAGCTATTGAATTTAGAAACATGCAATGTCGTAAAAATTGACAGATTTCAACATTTATAATGTTTCAATTCTGCTGGTTTCATCGATCAAATATTTACATATGACTGGTTTTTATATAATTTTTCCCCAAATTAGTTTAGAGGCACGACGTGAATGGATAAACTTGGCAACAAGGTTACCTCCTATCAGCTTGTGACTCATTGTGACTTGCGAATCAATCGAAAGTCTTAGTAAGAAAGCTACAGCATCTTACGTGTTTGAAAAATTACATCAGCTTTAGAGCTGCAATTGAAGTCAATAGAAATACTAAAGCAGCCAATTTTTATCTTTATGAAGACAGAGGCCGTGCGAAATTTGAAAATACGAAACATTCAAAATCAAAAGCTCTGACCTATGTCACAAAACTAATCTTTCATGGTAGGAAAGTATCGAAAGATTGTTTTAGAAAATGTTATTTCTCAAATATTCTCATCACGTAATTGTTTGAGTCAGCACGCAATTACTTTTTTATGTAGGATGCCGCATAATCATTTGAATCTTGCCAAATTTGTCTCGATATCACTCTAATATCTGAGAAAAGTTATGAATATTTCTTCTGTAATTCTCAGGCACGTAGGATTATTTTGCTGGTAAAATATTTGACAAACTTACAGAAAAAGTTCATGTTTTCTGGGCCACTCGTATTTTACTGGTAGAAATGTGACAACGCCAAGATGTTCATACAGCACTCATCCATATGAAAGCAATGATAGCAAAGTACTTTATGTGCGCAACACCAGTGGTGTGGCGTGAGTTGCGATGTATAGATTGTTATGCCTTTTAAACCCATGGAAAAGGATCGATAAACAGGGTGTTCTCAGCGAACACCTTAATAATCGATTATTTACCATGGGTTTAAATGGCATGACAATCGATACATCGCAACTCACGCCACGCCACTGCGTAACACTTGATGACGAGCAATCAGAAGAATTTTAGCAATGTAAGAATACCAACAGTAAAACTCCTGGAATGTTCTTATTCTTAATGAACCAAGATTTAAGTATTGTCATTATTGATCCAAGCGTGCCATTATACGAGAGTTTTTTTTTAACTTGGGATACATTGATGACTTCTAATTGCTCAGGATAATGAATGTCAAATCGATTTATGAAATTTGACGCAGCTTTTATGCAGATATAAAGGACTGAAAGAATATGTTTATTTTCAAACTTTGCAGCGATAAGCAATCATGATGATACCGTATTATTAACTGTGCCGGTATAATATCCTAGTAATTTTATTTAATGAATAATGAAGAGCTCATAATCTTGATGGTCTTCAATTTTATTTCATGACATTTTTCTTTTCTTGTCCCTCTTTTCTTTTTTCGTGGTAATATTTTGAAAAAAAGAACCCGTGCCTATCTTTGAATGACCTATACGTAGAAATGAAATAGTCCAATAACTCATCAATTTGTATTTGTCTCTTTGTCGCAGATTTAAACGAAACCCTGCATGAATCTTGAATGAATTTCTTCAGCTGAAAAAAGGAGTGACCAACATTTTATAATGATGAAGAGATGTTCTCTCATAACTGCAAGCATGATTTCAAAATTCGTCAAAGGTCATCTCTTGTACTCGTAGCGCTTATCTCTGTGTGGCTCGTTGCAGGTAAATTCTATCAGTCATACATTACGGGCCATTTTCACAGGTTGAAAACACTTCTTTCACCGTTTAAGTCGATTATAAATATCGAATCTAGATGAAACAGCCTGCTTCTAGATTCTGATTATTTTGAATACATTTTTATGGACGTTGGCAAATTATAAAAATCGTCACGTCATACAATTTTTGCTCCATTTTTTCTCGAGGTTGTCCATATATTATGCAACGGGATACCCCCAATTGTTTGATTGCGCATTGCAATAAGCGCTTCAACTTTACACCAAATGATAATATCACCGTAAAATATCAGGCTCTTTCAAAATAAACGGTAAAATATCATATTACTGAATTGTCACCTAACTTTCAATTTTCGGTGTGGGTATTAAGGCATCAAGAGTTTTTACGTGATCGCATAGTCGTATCTCACGTCCGTAAACGTCACGCTTATTCGGGACACGCAAAAAATATCCGTTTACCGAACGTGGAGAGGTGATTTCTACACATTGGCAGTTCGCCTAAAGTATTCGGTGTGGTCAATACGAGCTCAGTTGTGGTTGAATAGTGATATCACCTTAAATGTCACGATTATTCAGAATACGCAAAATAGATCCTTCCATAAAACGTGAAGAGGGGATTCGAAAGCATTGACACCTCGCCTACAATATTCGGTGTAGGCAACACGAGCTCACACATGGTCGAATGTTCGTATCACCGTAGACGTTGGACTTATTCAGAACACACAACAAATATCCCTTTACTAAATGTGGAGAGGTGACTCTAACACCGTGTCAGTTCGCCTCCAATTTTTAGTTTCGGCAACACGAGCTCTCCTGTAGTCCAATAATGGCAGCACCGTAAATGTCACGCTTACCTGAAACACACACAGATGCGAGGAAAGGACTTTTTAACGCTTTATTTGCTCCCCTGTGACCGGCAATTATTCTAATCCTGAACAATAGAAACTCTTACATGGCCAAAAAGTCGTACAGCCGCAAGATGGATTGTAACAGGGTCGGACTGGCCATGAGGCCATTCTGCCATTGGCAGATTAGCTCCCTTGGAGCGCCGAAAATTCGCTCTCTGGCAGATAGCAAAATAAGGAGAGAAAAAAAATTACGACCGAGAATATGTGCGAAAAATTTCTTAAATGAACGGAAGAAGAGAGAGTTAGGAGTAAAGAAAGGTGCCTTTACGCATGATAGTGGTGAACAGAGGTCCAAGAACTACTTTCTGAAGCGTAAACACTTTTCGGTGAGCTTTTCACCATGTTTTTGACATACTGGCGCTTTATCATCCCCCTCCTTTATTCGCTATGTGTCACTCCCTTACAAGGAAAGGTCGATTCGATTTTTAGATATACGCATCCTTTAGAGACCTCCTGAGAGACTTTAAACAAATTTATTCCTTGTCAAAATTACTATTGATTTGGACATACCATAACATATCTTGGGCAAAATTACCTGTATCTAACTCGAAATTAAAAAATAAGAGGCATCAAAAGTGTAAACGCGATACAGCTATTCGCGCAAGATAGATGTCCACATTGCATATGAAAAATGTAAGACGCGATGACGTGAGTCGTGAACGCACAATGCTCTGCTCTGCTCTATGCTACTAGTTTGAAGCACCATAACGAATAAGACAAACGCAAACAAACACAATATGGAAATAAAGCGAGGGAAAGGAACGACGGCGCAGAGATACAACTATTTGTACGTGATGGACGTCCGTGCTGCATCTGAAAAATTGAAGGCGCGATGACGCGAAGCGTGAGCTGTCAATGCTCTGCTATATGCTGTCAATAAGGTGTCGCTCAGATTCGGGAGAAAAGTTAAAAAAGAGGGTCGAACTCATCTCTCCTACCTTTGGCTGTGTTACTCACGTAGTGTTCGAAGCACCATTACAAATAAGACAAACGGGAACAAACACAATATGGAAATAGAGGGAGGGAAAGGATGCGCGTTTACGACGGCGCAGAGATACAACTATTCGTACTTGATGGACGTCCGTGCTGCATTTGAAAAATTGAAGGCGCGATGACGCAAAGCGTGAGCTCTCAATGCTCTGCTATATGCTGTCAATGAGGTGTCGCTCAGATTCGGGAGAAAAGTTAAAAAAGAGGGCCGAACTCATCTCTCCTACCTTTGGCATTGACGATTCCAACATTGGCGGATGCAGCAAAGTAGCAACATTGTCTTCTTTCCATTTAAACCTCTAAAAATTTATCGATTCTTGGAGGGGCCACGTGCTCCGACAAGAATCGATTATTCAGCATAGGTTTTAATGGAGGAAATCCGGTGTTTCCAAATTGCTGGACACGCCTCTAGATTTCAAATCATTTAAAATTTGTCAATAATCGATTGTGTAACATTAGCTAAAAAAAATCGTAAAATTAAACTCTTATTTTTTCTACTTCCTCATCTTTTCTCCCCCCTTTCCCTCTTTTTTTGACGATACACTTCAACAGCTCTGTTCGGAGCATACGAATAACATTTGGACGTAGTTCTACCAAACGGAACTACGTGCATTAAGACATGAGCCCTGAGACCCATAAGAATACGTGCATAAAAGGGCTCACGTCTTAATGCACATAGTTCCGTCCATTTGATTATTTTGGCAGCGGCGTCAAGCGGGCCCGTCACTTCGCTTCCTGATTCAAAAACGAGTTTGCGAATAAGAATAAAGAGACGAAATGACGCCGCGTCCACACGAGTAATTAGCGTTAATCAGCCCAAGATGGCAGGACACATCCGCGCTGACAGTTGCCAAATGATGCAATCGGGTGATCAAGGTTGCCAAATCGCTCGATGCAATTTGCATGAACATTGAGTCATACAAAGAAAAGCGCTAATGAACCACTAGACTAGAGTCCCTTTATATTGAGAGTCAAGACAGTGTGAATCCATTTCTGATTGGTTCCCATATTTTAGGCCTTCACAGTGTCATAAACGGGAAAAAAGATTAAATTTCCACCGATTGCAAAGATTATAATTTGGAATGGACCAGGGAATTACGGGTTCGGAAAGGAACAAACGGAATGAAAGAAGGAACGGAGAAAGGAATTAGAGAACGGGCCAGTTGATCGATTCTCCCTTTTTTTACACCAAGATTTCACTGAATTTCGAATTACTATTTTTATTATTCACTCATTATTCCTGTAGAATTACTACCAGACTTTTTGATGCCCTTTTCAAAAATATACCTATTCCTGAATAATATATTTCTCATAACACGTCAATGTTTCTGCGTGTCAGCACGATGATGACCACAACCGGTAAACTCAGATGATTGCTTTTAAAAAATTCTTTCTTCAGCGGAAAATCATGTCAATTTACGTACATTATGGCAACTACGGATCGTGATCGTGGCCGGAGTTTGGCACGCGGAAAAGTTTGGTAAAAGATGAAAGTCCGGACCCGTGACCCGGTCCTCAGAATTAGTGATCGTTACTTTTTGCGACAAAATTCGAGTTATGAGATCACCTAAGTTGCCGAATTTTTTACGGCTGCTTGCTCCACAAACGACACAAATTCATGAGTTTGCAAGAGAGGTGATGCCAGATTTGTAGGATTGTAGGTACTGCGGAATGCTGCCGTGCTAAGGAAAAACGCCGGATGAACCTTCAGGCGTTCACTGAAAAAAATAATATGCTGTTTTAGCATCTAGGATGTCAAAAATGTGTCTGGTATTCCCAAGATGCTGCTTTTACTGCCCTCGCAGTTAACTTTACATCCTATGAATGCAAATTCAACTGTATTGGCAATCAAAGAAGCATCTTAGGATCACCAGACACTTTTTTGACATCCTAGGTGCTAAAACAGCATACCCCTTTTTTCAGTGTTGCCAAATTTCCTTTGATAAAACACGGATTTCCTAGTAAACTTATGAATATTTTCCTTCCACCTTTTTAGATACTTTTGTTCGTAGTTTCATCTAAAGTTTCTGAAAATGACAAGGAAAAATATTCAAAACATTCCTAAAAAATAAACACTATCCAGAAAGCCTACTTTGTGGATCAATACATTTTTGTTCAAAAAGCAATAATGACCTAGAATCTTGCCAAAGGCGGAAAAACTCTCAATTTAAGGTGTCAAAACCTGACAGTCAGGAGCATTTGGACGTAAAAAGGCGCTTTGGACGCATTTAAATAAAAAGAAATCATCTTTATTGTGACATAGTCTCTGCCATGAATGTGTGATTTTGCTAATCTCAGGGCTCAAATGAACCGCGTTAAGCAGAAAGGAACCAAGCCACATCAGCTATTGCCAAATTTAATCAGGCAATTTAATTTTTTACATGGAAACGATTGTGCGGATTTCTGTGGAAATTTCCGTTGACTTTTTGCATTGTGCGAACCATCCATAAAATTTTCAAAGGAATCCACACAATGTAAAAAAATTAATTCTTGGCAATAGCTGATGTGGCTTGGTTCCTTTCTGCTAAACGCGGTCCAAATAAAAATGAAAATAGTTTCTTTTGATTTAAATACGTTTGATAAACGTCCGATAAAGTTAGACATTGTCCGGAGACTTTAACGCAGACTAGAAAAGTAAGAATAACGTAAAAAGTTGATCTGCACTTCGGCTGTTGTTGCAGTTAGAGGAAGAAATTTTTTACCATACGAGAAAATATAATTAAAACAAGTTGTTATTCTTGTAGTTTTCTGTTACAGTGAGGGCCCAGTATGAAGAAATCATCGATCCGGAGCTCGAGAAAAAGGGTCCGCAGGTCAACATCAAAAATGCGCGAGACCTGCAGAACACAACGTCCTGCGTGGAGCCTCCCTACGAGTGCCCACATCCCAGGATACAGTTCTTTCTGTACACGAGGTATGGCATAGACGTTAAAATCAATCCCGAAGTAACGTGCTGAATTTCACTTAAAATAAATAATGGAGATGTTGTATGTGTGAGGAATTTGCGTTTTGACTATTCATTCTTATGTAAAGGTTCGCGAGAAACACGACACTTGAAAAAAAACACATTGGATCTAGAGTCCAGACTCTTAAAAACATCGACAAGATAAATCACTTTTGATTCAATCGGATTTTTGCTTAAATCAAGAACCAAGCCTCTTGATTTGAGCGGATTTCCTTTTGATTCAAGCTTAAATCTGATTGAATCAAGAGTATTTTTCCTTGTCAATGTTTTCAAGATCCTGGACTCTAGATCCAATGTGTTTTTTTTCCCAGTGGATGGGGCCACTGGTTCCCTCTGAAATCAACTCCCAAGCTCAAAAAAGCTCTCAAGTTGAGGCCAAAATAGAGGGGATATCCCACGCTATGCTGAGAGTCCACGTCTACATCAAGACGAACTCTCCATACAAAGATAGGGGAGCAAATACATTGACAGGGCTGCCACTTTATTTGAGGACTAAAACTGAAAACACGGCGACCCTGCTAATGTATTTGCTCCCTATCTTCGCACGGAGAGTTTGTCTTGATGTAAACGTGAACTCTCAGGATAGCATGGGATATCCCCTCCGTTTCGGCCTCAACTCGAGAGCTTTTTTTGAGCTTGGGAGTTGATTTTAGAGAAAACCAGTAGCACCATCGTATTTCTCGCGAACTTTTACATAAGAATCAATAGTCAAATCGCAAATTCTTCACACATGCAACATCTCCATTATTAAGTTCTTGGCTAAGGCGATCAACCCACCGTAAAGAGTTCGGGAGCCTTTTGACAATGTCCTTTCCAAGATTTTGATGACTGCCTTACACGCTTTTGACGACTAATCGGTCAATGTAGTGTTTTAAGAAGCTACGTTTAATTACTTACGAAAAACGAGTATGTGTTGAAAAACACTCTCGTTTCTCTCTCCGTTATTCTTTAGAAGACTTTGAAATCAATATAGAGCTAATTGATTGAAGGCACAGTAGTTGAAAATCATTTACCTTCGACAAAATTTTAGCAACATTACCATTGATTAGATTGTTCTAGTAAGGTTTTTTCAAACCTCACACGGCATCTCAGAGTGTTATTTTAATCTCCGGTATTACGTACATCGTCCAGAAATGCATCACTTGCAGAATGTTCATATTGTTTAACTACAATGAGAGGTGAGGTCCGGTTATTGATATTGAACTTCAATGTATATTCAACCTTTGACTTTTTCGGTTCATGTAAGCGAAATTTTCCACCTTAAGAATAAAATTTTGGTTAGTTGAGGCAACTTTTGTCTTCTTTAACTAAAAAGTTTCTATTACCTGAACAGAAAACTCGTAAAAGAGCATGAACAAAACTTCTCTGTGTGTGTGTGTGTGTGAGACTCGAGAATTCGAGATGCTGGTTATAATTTTTTAGATGACTATTAAATTTCTTCTTACTTTTCAGGTACACACAAACGCGACCTGATATCCTCGACACAACCAATGATCTCTCTCTGTACGAATCTCATTTCAACCCCGCTCATCCAACCAAAGTCCTTATCCATGGATTTCAAGGAGGGCGTATCTATTCTCCGAGCACTGATATCAGAAGGGGTAATACAATTTTATTCATGTCTAGCTGTGCCATGAGTCGTGAGAAAACTAGTTAAAATAAAAATCTTTGAAATAAGCCAAATGATCACTGATCGTGATTGGTATAAGTGTCATAAAGTAGGTATCCATATTAAGTATTCCATCCTATCAAAACATTCAAGCACCTAAAAGATCTAATAGTGGTAACGTGGCCAAAAAAAAAGTACCGAATGTTTATTTACTTCCTCGGTACGGTATATGTAACATAATTTACTTATTTTTAGAAAACTGGTATGCTTCATTGCTTTCCGCTTCACTTTCATGTTTCGGCTCGTTGGCACCACGGCACTTGAGCATTGAAGACCCAAGGTAAATCCTTTGAAGAGTGGTTACTATGAATAGATAAATAACCGTATTTTAATAAAAGAGGTAAAAGTTTATTTTGTCATTATCGTTTTCGGTCATGCTATCCCTATTGGACATTCTAGATACATGGATATAGTTCGATAGTTATATCTTTTGACTTCCATCGACGGTAAAACTTTCCCAAACCACTTACACCGCGGTTTTCGACGTTGAAGACCTCCTGTCATACTTTATTTTTTAAATGAAAAACTAATCAACTTTGCTTCTTTAAAGCTCACCTGATTTTTCTTCTTTTTGCGAAAAAAATTCCGTGAAAACTTCAAGGAACGATGACAATTTTCTCCAGCTCAAAAAAGTGAAATGGGAACGGAGTTTTTAAAACACCGCGCAAACAAGGTACTTGGTCTGGGATTTTCACCGTCGCTTTGTGATTTGGACATTTTTTAATTAAGTACCACCTCGTTCATTTGATATCATCATTCTAGAGAAGTTTAAGTTGATTAATTTTAATGTAAACAGTAAACGCTATCACTTCCTTCACAAGCTGATTTCGAATATCTTGAATACTTCCATCGTATTTTGCATGGACATGTAGTGAGGTTAAATACGTGGCGCGGCGGTGCTATACTCATTCTGTCATACTGAGGCAAAATAACGCATGCAAAAATGAACATTCGAGAGTTGCCAGATTTCCTCCGATAAAATGGTCATTTATGAGGAAAGCTAGGCGTTATTTTCCATGGGATCTACTTATACGTTAAATTGATTGCAAACAAAATTGCCTGAAAAATGGAAAATTTGCACGTACACATTTTATGGTATCATCTAAGAGTGGTTAGGGAGCTGAATTCCCAGTATTTTTCATATTTTTCTTCCGAATGGACCACTAGACAAGGTACGAATTTCAGCATTCTGATACATGTATCTTAACTAAAATTTCACGTAGAACACGATGCGCACAACGAAAATTACCGATATTAACTCCTTACTAAGATATTTGATGATTCTTGATGTGTGAATTCAAACCACCCGCTCATTAAAACTCAATGCTCTACGTGATTCACATCGCGCGCTAAACGTTATCATGACAGTCTCTGTGATGTAAAAATCTGGCAACCTCAATCTTGACGCTTTGGCTCAGCTGTAGCAAATAGCTCATGGTTTGAACAACACATGGTGGAAAATGAACATTGCTCGATTGAGAGGCTTGCTGAAACCGTTGTAGTGCGCGATTTGACTCACGTAGAGCTTTGAGTTTCTTGTGAGCGGGCAGTTCAAATTCCTAGTAACCAACGTGAAATAAAAACGTTAATATCTTTGTTAGGAGTTAGCTTCAGTCATTTTCGTTGCGCGAATCGTGTTCTGCGTGAAATTTTGGTTAAGAAACATGTATCAGAATCCTATAATTCGTACCTTGTCTAGTGGTCCATTGTGAAATGGGAGAAAAAGAGATTTTAAAGTGAGAAAATCTGCCGCTTTATGATGTCATCTGGCGGCATTTTCCATTTAACCACATGTATTTTAGGAAATTAGGTTATTTTGTCATAACTCCTCCAATACTTATTCAATTTAGAAACGAAGGATATCCTCGTGTTCACAGTTTTTTAGCAGTTTCATTTTAAGCAAGACATTTATATACATATTTCAGACACCTGCAAATTCTCCATTGGAAGGAAAATATTCACAATTTTATAAGTAAATTCACACTGAGAAAAAAACCATGGTTATAATTACCATATTAGTGGTGTTTCAATATGCACTCTCAATTTTAGAAGTGGCCATAACCAATAATAGTGATATTTTTACCGCAGCAATCGTAAATTTACAAGTGTGCGGTAGTAAAATTACCATTTAATGGTAAAAATATCTATATTATTGTTTATGGCAACTACTAATCAAGAATTCGTATTGAACACCACTAATATGGTAAATATAACCATAATTTTTTCTCAGTGCATTTATTCATGTATTATTGATGGAGATGTGGCAACGTTCGACGGGTCATACGGCGTTTTTCTTAGCATGGGAGTATTATACTGCCCAGTTGTCCATAGCGAGTTGTTAGTGATGCTTTTTTGTTTACGAGCGTGCGTATGTGCTCTGTTTGCAGCGTACTTCAGCCGCGGGAATTACAACATTATCGTGGTGGATTACTCAAGCCTGGTCCTGATTCCGTGCCTGAGTCAGATCGAGTGGTCTCCGCGCTTCTGCGCCATGTGCATCGCCCAGATGGCCGAGTACCTGGCCCGCCACCCCCGGGGGGTGCCCCCCGAGCGGCTCCACCTCATTGGCTACAGCATCGGGGCCCACATCGGCGGCCTCACCGCCAATTTCCTCCCCTTCGGCAAACTAGGCCGCATCACTGGTGAGTTCCCCTCGCACATTTCCGAGATGAGACAATACGAGGTGTCTCAGCGGGCTGATTATTGAAATTGATAGACAAAGGTACGGATAAAGGAGACAAAAGAGATATGGAGAGATCCTATTCGTGGAAGCGGGTAGTTGTAATGGACAAAAGAGGTGTATAATAGACTAACTAACGGCAACTCGCGAGAGACCTAACAGTTAGTCTATCGTTTTCTCCCTTTGTCTATAGGAACCACCCATTTCAACCAATGGGATCGCTCCATTCGATTGCTTCATAGGATTCGCTTCAGAAAAAGAGGGAGGCCACGGCTGAGATGGATCTGGGATGTAAAAAAGGACATTAGAGTAATGAGAGTAAGACGATGTAGAACCAGAATACTTGACAGAGTGCAGTGGCGGGGAATTGTTGTGGAGGCCAAAGGCTCACACCGGGCTGTAGCGCTGGAGAGGAAGAAGAAGAAGAAGAAGAAGAAAAAGAAGAAAAAGAAAAAGAAAAGGAAATAGAAGAGGAGGATCGCTCCATACTCCCTATGTCTTCTTCGTCTATAGCTTTGTGTATCAATTTCAATATCAGTCCGCATGGTCGAACAACAATACTGCAGGGCCTTGTTCAATGGGTAAAAATGAGACATTTTTCTCCTATAAAGTCCCCCCCCCCCCCCAAAAGNCCCCCCCCACAAAAGCTCCCCCTGCGGGAGCTGCAACACCCTCCATCACCCAGCAAATCATCGATTATTCTGAATTCTGGGACCGTTTATTGATCAAAACTCATGAAAAATGGCTAGCCCATTTTTTAGCACTGAATTCATTCAATACCTCAAAAATATCTATATCTTCGGTTGAAAGGGGGTTTCGGAGGTCTTGAATCTTTCGGGGCATTATACTATATTCAGAAAAAACACTGGAATAAAGACTTCGTTTCTCTTGACAAATAATTGGACGTATTTCTGCCAAACGGAGCTATGTGCATTATGACGTGAGCCCTGTAATGCATCTATTCTTATGGGTCTCAGGGCTCATGTATATTAATACATGAGCCCTGAGACCACACAGCACATAGTTCCGTTTGGCAGAAATACGTTCAATTGAAAACTATGGCAATAGAATTGAGATGGAAAAAAAGAAGAGGTTGTCGTCTAAAAAGTCCGCGTGATCGTAACTCAGAATGTAGAATGTAGGAAACTGAATCAGTAAGAAAGGCCTGAGTCTAGAAGTTTGTTTCTCACGGTGTGTCCGTGTGAAGATTCCAAATGTAAAATGGGCAGTGGTTCGAGTTGGCAACACTGAGTTTCGTCCATTTAAATAAATTTAAAACAATCAATATTTGTTGAAGAGGGCTATCTCACCTAGATGTTTCATTTCCATTATACTGCACATTTATCTCACAGACGAATGAGACCAAAAGTGTTTTAGTCCAAATGTGGTTAGTATACAGACCTCAGGAATACTGACGTCATCATTTAACGTGGCTTCACGCAAGGTACGTGCTGACGCTGAGGCCAGAGTCCTCTCACGGGTCAAGGGCGTTTTGCGAGTTAACGTTGATGAATTCTGATTCCCTCGTCCAAACAGAGTCATAACGACAACAATATTTTTGAGCGTGAAGAAAATGCTTTTACAAAACCCATAAGGTGATACTTTATATTTACTTTTAGTCGCTCATTTTTAATTAGTCTCAATTTTTTGTTGAAGATTGGAAGAAAATATCATGCTGGGCACCTGTTTTATTTTTCGACTACGGTTGGACCTATTTATATTCAAGAAGTCTAATTGCATTGAGCTTTTTTTTTTAGATGAATATCGTTTGCATGCATATTTAAGCACATTGAAGGGTTTGGAAGACAATAAGGCGCATAAGTGGAGTTGAAGAAATGCGAGATTAGAAATTAGAGGCCAGCCGCCTCAATTAAGTGCCATAGCTTGTTATGCTTGTATTTCAACAGGTGAGGTACAAGAAAACGACTGGACCTCACTAAAAGCACAGTAGATAAAGTCAGAAAGAGGGGGCGAAGGGGAAACAGAAATCCGGACCGATTTATGTTTTTCCGGGTTGAAGAAAGAAGGATGGAAATAAAAATGAAATTGCGTGCTCAGGAGCACGTATCTGATCAAAATTGAGTTTTTTTTTGAACCGAAGTATTTTATTAATATATTTACATGATGGAATTACAATTGGACAGAATTGTAGCCGAAGGCCTATGTTTACATACTACATTTTTTAAAGCCTACTATTATATTTACATGTTAGTTCGTATAGTTCCCCCTTTTGAATTCCCCTTAGACGGGTCGTGACGTCGAACACGACGCATAGTAGATCGAGTCAATACGCGAGGTCGGACAAAAATTGGAAACTTTAAACGCTTATAACTTCGTTCATACAAAACCTCGAGGTTCTAAAAGTGGTTCCATAGGTTTCCTCGTGAAATTTTTTTCTATAAGCATCCCTTGAACTTTAAAATTTGATGAATTAAACATCAAAATTTGCAGTTTTAGTGAAACATTTCACGCCCGACCTCTCAAATCGACTCGATCCACTGCACGACGCCCCTCTCAATTTCTTCTTTAAAAAAATGGTCCAACAGTTTGTCTCACATATATTTTCGCATTTTCAGGTCTGGATCCAACGATAATTTTCTACATGGGAAACAATCGAAGTCGAGACTTGGATCCGTCGGATGCCAAGTTCGTGGACATCATTCACACAGGTGCGGGAGTGCTCGGGCAATGGGGTCCCAATGGTCACGCGGACTTCTACGTCAATGGTGGCACCAGCCAACCAGGATGCAGCAGTGATACTCTAATCAGTAAGTCAAAATACGCTAGATCTCTAAATGGAGGTGTTGCATGTGTGAGGAATTTGCGATTTGACTGTAGATTTTTATGTAAAAGATCGCGAGAAACACGATGGTGCCACTGGTTTCCTCTGAAATCAACTCCCAAGCTCAAAAAAAGCTCTTAAGTTGAAGCCAAAATGGAGGGGATATCCCACGCTATCCTGAGAGTCCGCCTCTAAATCAAGACAAACTCAACTCTCCGTGCAAATATAGGGAGCAAATATATTGACAGAGCTGCCACTTTATTTGGGTACTCTAAAACTGAAAACACGGCTACCCTGCTAATGTACTTGCTCCCTATCTTTGCATGGGGAGTTTGTTTTGATGTAGAGGTGGACTCTTAGGGTAAGGTGGGATATCCCCTCCATTTTGGCCTCAACTTGAGAGCTTTTTTAAGCTTGGGAGTTAATTTCAGAGAAAACCAGTGGCACCATCGTATTTCTCGCGAAATTTTACATAAGAATCAACAGTCAAATCGCAAATTCCTCACACATGCAACATCTCCATTACGATTATACCTCCAATGAGTCTGTTGCGCTAGTCAAGCTTTCGTATTTGATGATTTTAGATCTTAATCGGCAAAAAATGATAAGACCCTCTAAAAACCAAATTTTCACGTCCCTCATTAACGGTAACATCGCCCTTCAAAAAGCACGACACATGACGTCATTCGCCGCGGTGATGCAAACACCTGTTTGTTTATCTTGGTTTCATCCGTGCTTTTAGTCGAGCAACTAGCGCAACTGTACGTCACACTAATTTCATGGAGCCAAGGTGGAAGAAACCATGGTGTACACTACCGAGGTGGGTGACTTCAATCACGTATTTTTTGAAATGCGATATCTGCGTTAGTATTCGACGTAGCAGTTAGGCTTTTGGATAGATCCTAATATTTTTCGCTAATTCGTTAGCTCATAAACCATCAGAACGCGATTCTGTGACTAGCTTAACTGACCGATTTTGAGCCACAGCAGCCACATAAGGTAAAGCCTTTGATGGTAAAAAAATTGCCTGCACCTGAGGTCATGGTGAGGAAGAATATTACACTTGAGCAAATTGATTCATTACGGTCGCGAATGCGGGAGGACTGATGGTAAAAGGATGATTCTCGTTTTATGAAGAGAGTCCATGCGCAATCAGTTGACCAACTTTTAGAGTGCGATGGAATCCCTTGCCAACTTAATTTTCGCATTGAAACTAAATGCAAGAATTAAGATGAAATATTTTATGTCTTACCTAAAGAGTCTGCCAACTAATTTTGCCTGAGCAGTGCCCTGGAGAAAACGTTCGGTAAGGAAATTTCGAAGACAAATTAAACTCCTACAGTTTGACCTTCGTGGGTCCCATTTTAGCACGTAACTGCCCGAGCAGCATGACACACGTTTCATGCGGTGAATGAGGACAAACTTCGACGGATGTAATCAGCGATCAGACAAGGTCTAAATTCGGTCAAATTCATGCTCTCATGTCCTTCAAATTTGCAACCAGAAAATGACAAAAACTTTGAAAATTAATCTTGTTGCCAAATAGTATCGCTCAATATTAATACCGATCAAATGAAATACATCAGGATATTATTATTTTACATGACTACTCTTATGAACATCAAAATTTTTTAGCGAAATTTTGAAGAAAAGTCAGATAAAGCTCTTAGTGGAACCATCCTTGTTGACCCATCTTCCATAATTTTAGAACTTATCGTCACTGAGGATTTGACTGGTGCACACGCGTAGCATGTAAAATGGAGTAAGACACGGTTTATAATCAATCTTCAACATTAAATAAATCGAGTTCAGATATAAGAAATTAAAGGTCCAATGTCAAACAAGAGAAACTCGATATGGTTTACAGTTTTCTTCTTCCATAATATTAAGTGTGACATATGAATTTATTAAAATTAATTTGTCGCTCTTACAATGTTCTTAGTAGGTCCTGTAATCCTTCATATGTATTATAATGGCAACCATTATTTTTTTCGTGGAAGTGAAAGACAACATTTTCCGTTTGTTTCAAAACTCATTACGAATGGAAAAATTCTCCACATTGTTTCTTTAAGAGAGCTCATTGTAAAAGATATGTTTTCGGTTTGATTCATATTTCCTTTCGCTTTGGAAAAATCGGTTCATTTGACTTTCCCTTTAAAGAACTTTATCTGCGTCAAGAAGAAACTGTAATCTAAAGGTCACTTTGAGACACTGAAAAATCTCATGAGCCTTGATTTTTCGGCTGGAGAAAACTTTAGCAAATTCAAAAGAGCTCCCACTTTTCCCTCTTCTAAAATGTGACTAGGTTTCTTTCCACTGAAGTAAGCCCTGATTATTTTTTTTACCTAATGCAATGCTTTGTTTATTTTTCAGAGCAACTTTCATGCGATCACACTGTAGTGACACCATACTTTGTTGAGTCCATCAACAGCGAGAGAGGTTTTTGGGCAGTGCCTTGCCCGAATCGGTTCCTTTTCAACCTGGGTCTCTGTGACGGCGCCATATCCGAATACGTGCCGATGGGGGAACACGTTCCCTGGAGGTAATTATTTTCTACCTAGGATTATCAGGGCCGGATTTACCTACTTGCGGCCCATGGACCGCCTGTATTTTACCGCCCCTTCTCATTCGTTTTGAAACATTAATACAAACCATCAAGTTTACTCACCATCGCGTCTACTCGTGTTGTTGGGCACATTTTTTGTGAAAGCCCTGTCAACACTAGCAAAAGTTCACGGAACTTTGTGCGAAAGTTAAGTTCCGTAAACCTATCTCTGTGTGGACAAGGCCTTTCATTTATAAGAGATGAACGAAAAAATTACGAAAGAATAAACATGAATGTGGTATAATAATTTTTACTTCCGCCGCCGCGCTCAATGCACTGAGTTTGACGCTATGCGTTTCACGCCAACCGCTGCTGACCGCACTGCGTTTGACGCAACACGTGAAGTATTCGTGGAGTCTTGTAGGCGCTAATATATGTATGTGTTTCATGCTGACCGGCGCGCCGAGGACTTCTCCTTTTCATCTCGAGTCCGAGTCACCATTGCTCTCTGCGCCGCGCCGCTTCAGGCAAAATTGCGTGTTCGGTTTCTGTCTTAACTTGAGTAATGAAAGGTGCTGTCTCTTGTAGTACCGAAAGACGACAAAATTAAAAGTACTATAATTTAACTCTCAGGAAATGAGAGATTTTGTCGCGTTTTCTCCTTCGCAATGTTTTTTCCTGAATCAGATTTTTTTTGATACCTATATTTGAAAAAATTGGAAAATGTGCTGCCCCCTTTTTCCGCCATGGGCCGCGGCCCATGTGGCCACCCCCTAAACCCGGCCCTGAGGATGATCCAACCAGATAGGCTCGTATTGACTGCGGCACTTAAACAATTCCATCACTGTTAAAACTGACACTTTCTGTTCCTACATTGGACTGAGTTCATCAGAAGGGAACCAGCCCACATTAAGATGAAACTGAGAAAAAGAGGTTGGAAGTTTTATCCATGCATAAAGCTCAATACAGGAAACGAACTTTAACCTCACATTTCACTAGCTAATTTCTTTTTTTCGACTTTCAGATTTTGACAGGAGAAAATAAACTACTAGTGAAACTCAAAAACATTCTTAACTCAATGTTTTCGAAAATGTGGGTTGGTTTCTTTTTGATAAACCCGGTCATTTAAGGATGATACAACTTCTAAACTGATTTGTCTTAATCTATGAAATAAGATCATAAGACTAACGAATGAGGCGTGACGCCCTACGCTTATCCTTCATTGGTCGTTTCGCGTTCTCAAAGAACCGCTTTCTTGGTCACCTTTCAAAAATGTAATAAAAGTGCCAGGCACCTTCCGAGGTCCACCAATATATGGTGGTACTTGGATCGCGTCAAACAGAAAGGAACACATCAGCCATTGTGGATCCAGCCAAATTCAATTGGGCAATTTAATTTTTTACTTGAAAACGATTGTGCGGATTTTTGTGCAAACAGTGGATTTTCTCCATACCCAGTACGAAGCAAATTCTTCAAACATTTCAAAGGAACCCACGCAAACGTTCTCTCGTAAAAAATTAAATTACCCGGTTAAATTTGGCAATAGCTGATGTGGCTTGGTTCCTTTCTGTTAAATGCGGATCTCTTGATGGTACATAGTGGTACAAAGCATATCTACCGGGCTAAAATTATCATTCTTATTTTTGCATGCTTCGTAGTTTTGTGTATTTAGACCTTCAATCTTCTTTTACAGGGCCAGAGGTGTATATTACTTAACGACGAATGCCAAGAAACCTTATGCCAAAGGGATGCCGGATGGGAAGAAACCGCCTTTCAGAGCACTACCACCACCAGAGGTTTAACCCACCCGTGTATCACCGAATGCCAATTGATCATTGGTTACCTACCTTTAAGTTACCAGGAGCCCAGATTTCTCTACCATCATTTTTTTAATGTTTTATCATATAGTCTGAGCAATCTCAAGAATTCTGTGGCCATATTGTCTTCATTCCGAAATCACTTTTCAACAATCGATAAAATTCCCGTTCTGTAATTAAAATTTTTTCTATGTTTCTTCTATTCAAAGGTTCAAATTGAATTTATATGCAGTCATAGTCCATCATTTACGCTAAAATAGTTTTTTCTTCCTTAGATGTTCGATGATAAATTATAAGGGATGAATATTGCTTACTATGTTTTCAACTTTTTGGCCTTGTCATTAACTTTTATATTAAAAAAACTGTATAGAGTGTTAAAAGTCAGTCAGCCTTTAGATATTCCCTTGAATTTATTTTTTTGAAATCGAAAAATCACAAGAATTATACAATATTAAGAAGTTCAGAAATTAAAAATGTTTAAGTTTCTAAAAGTGGGAAACTTTTTCTCTGCGTACTTACTCAAATGTATTATTCAATTGTCTAATTTTTTTCTTCAAGTATGCGCAGTACATACGTGTAAAACGTTTATTTGGAAAATTTACTTTCACCAATGAAGTAAGTACATCAAAACAAAGTTAGGGATGATCGTTCACAAATTTTCACCCACGAGACTACATGGATTGACTTTTTTTTGAAGATTACAATATTTTAAAACAATATTGAGGTACCATAAAAAGTGTTACTGAAAAAGCCAAAAATCTACCTGCTGTGATTTGTTCAACCATTTTCTGCTATCTGTAGTTTAAAAATAATTTACCCCGCATTTCCTTCACAATATGTTGAATTTCAATTTTTTCTTCTCAACAAATTCGAGTGAAGTGTGTATGTCATTGTTCAAAAAATGTATAGTTTTTCACGGAACTTTCAATTTGTTGAACATACCTAATGGTCTGATTTTGGTTGCAAATGAATTATTAAACGTAGAAGCTTGACAAATACTCAGTCATTTTTCCGCAGCATTTTTTCTGAACACCAAAAAATCTATAAAGAAACACAAGTGCTTATGTCTTATATCCAGCACTAGCGTTTCTTTCTCTCTGTAGATTGCTTTCCTGCATTCATTTTCCCACCTCAACAGCACATGTGTTCTTAAAGAACTGAGCTGAGAATTCTGATGTATTTTTCCGCATTTTTGTAGGTTTAACTGAGATTAGAATTGGATCCTTAAGTGTTGAAAAGTTATACGAGAAGAATGGTTAAACGTGTTGAAGGATCCCAATAAAAATGGCACTTGTAAATGCCGAATTATATCTTACAATCAGTACAAAATAAACACTCAAGTCAGAGTGATTGTATAAAAACGTTTAAACAGGAACTTGTAAATATAAGTGTACATTTGGAATGAGATTGTACCCTTTTCATGATAATTATAAATGGTATGAATGATAGACAGTAACTTAATTTAAACTTCCCTCCAATACCCTCAAAAATATTTGGATCTAGGTATCCTTGCGTGGATTTTGCGCAGCTACAATGGCATGTATGTCTCTGTGCTTTTATTAGTTAACGTTATTTTTTTTCCCCTTCCTAAGCATACAGCTACCATCTGCTGTCCCTAATTACTAGCGCGTACTTGAATTCACAGCAACTTGGGGAGGAAAGCTTAGTAGCACTACAGCTTGGTAGAGAAAAATTAATGGATGGGCATCCAGGGTCTCTTAGGTACTTTTTACATAGATTATATAGAAAATTCACAACCTCCTACTTTGAAAGCAGGAAACTACAATGGAATGCTCCAGAATTTTTCCTTCTAGTGAAAAATATTTTTAAAACGTTTTAGTAAAAAATTTACACAGGTTACAGGTCTGCAAAAAAAAATTATTTCGGGAATATATTGGTTAATGTGTGTATAATTTTTAGCAATGTGTCCGAAAATGATCTCGTTTTTTTTCTGTATCCACCTACTTTTCGGAAAATTTATATTTTTCTGGAAACAGGCTTTTCCGAGGAAAATTCAATTTTATGAGAAATTGGTGCATGCTAGAGAAAAACCATGGCCACTTTTGTACTCAGTATTTCTCGAAATTTCTTGCTTTTTGACGCAAATTTAAGCAACAAAATGAGAGGTTAACTGAAACTTTTGACATTTATCTTCCAGGTAAACGGGATGTGCAAAACAATTTTCATTCAGCAAGTCAAAGTTTTCATAATTTAAAATTTTAAAATTGCCTTGCCCCAAGGATTTACTGAGCTCGACGTGAAAATCAGGTTGCTTTATCACCTAAATTTGCTGTGTTTCAAAGGAAAAGATCTTATATTGAATAGACATTATGAGACAGTCTCATGGAGTTAAAAAGGACCATTCTGGCGAACTTAATTTAATTATCGTTCAAACAGAAATTGAATTTAAAAAGTCTAATTCTTTTCCTTCTTAAAATCCCTGGTAAAAGTTGTCAGTAGAATCTGTGTTCCAAAATACCGTAGACCTACAGCTGGCTGTAAGATTTCCAATAGCCTCTATAGCCGGCTACACAATTTCTTACAGCCTTTTGTAGCCGATGGCGATTAAGCAACTCACAGCCAGGCGATAAAATGTCTGCTAAACGTTACTAATTACGGATGCTAGGACTTAGTGAGTTTTAGGACTACCGCTCTCTTTTTGGGCCGTAGTATCTTGATTTATTTTGCGAGGAAAGCTCCGTACTTTTGAAGGATGCCTGCAATTCCTAACATATTGGAGCGCCTGCAATTTCGAATGATACTGTGCAATACTTCTGGTGTGAAATAGTTGCTTCAAGCGCCGTGGGCGGACAGCCAGCGCCAAACGCGCATTGGCGCCTTCAAACCTAACAGGGACACTTCACGCATTGCGCAATGCGTGAAGTATCCCTGTTAGGTTTGTAGGCGCCAGTGCGCCGCCGCTCCGCTTTGTGTTAGGCTCTAATATTGAATCTCGTGGAGTCAGCGTTTTTCAACTCATGACTTTGAAATGTTTGCACACTCTGTATGGATTATTCTCATTTTAATTTATGAAAAAAAAAATATGTATTAAAGGAAAATATAATGTGTGTTTTGTAAATATTAAGGTGGTTCCTTACAAACTTAAGGATTTACAAAGCACACGAATTTCTACACAATGTCTTACAGCTTTTTATAGCCGATGGCGAAAAAGCAACAGCCAGGCGATAAAGTGTATAGCCCGGCGATAGGAACTATAGCCCGGCTGTATAATTTTTTATCGCTTCGTGTAGCCCGGCCGTAGGATTTTTTCCACTTTTTACAGCCAGCTTTACGATTTTATGTAGCCTTCTTCAGTCGGCTATAAGAACTCCTATGGTATTTTGAAACGCTGCTCCTATCGCCAATTTTTACCAGGGATGAAGGCATTCCTTTAAGTTTATTCTGTTGATAAGACACAATGATGTAAAATTTACAACAGGACTCTACACCCTGTATGGACATGTTTGGTACTCAAATTTACATGAGAATATTTGAAATTGAGGAGTAACAATAATAAATTTAAGCCCGGACTGGTAGAGAAAATTTGACAGATATGTATGGAAATTCTTAGAGGCTGAAGATAAAAAAAGTAGCTAAGGGATACTTCGACCTGCCGCAAAGGTAAATGACGTACAATGAATTTTACCGACAAGAAGAGTATGGCAGCAAGTATACTAGTAAGCACTTCGCGGCGCATTACAGTCACAAACGCAACATGTGGGTAACTTCTGCTCTGAGAGGCAAGAACTATTAGCAATTTTATTTTGGATATTAATATAATGATTCAATTTCATTATTTTTCTAGAATGGATCAAATGATGGTTTTCTAATTATTTTTATACAAAATCCAGAATCTCGATGGAAACTATAGCTAAAAATTATTCTAAGATTTATGTGTTGCAATCAGCACACACTACAGTGAAACTGCATATTTCAGAGATATTCACTTGATTTTTCTTGAAACGGCAGATTTCTTGCTACTATTCTTTTCCTTAAACTTAAACGAAATTCAGGAATGATTCCGTCTAAGAAATCATTATTACATTCTGTCATGGTGCTTAGCTATAGAAAAGGAAAATACCGTAGAAAAAATACCTCAGAATATAAACTTTATTCCATACAAATATTAAAAAAAATGTTTGACTTGTCTAATATTTTAAAATGCCTTTGGAAGGTAGGAGGAAAGAGCAGGGTGTTGAAATTTGATCACACCCAAGTTTTGGCGTCTACTTGCGGCCCTAATTTAAAATTTTTCTGCTGTTTAACTCCAAGATGAAGTCAGCTTAAAGGAGAACATGTATTACATTCTGATGTAATTGAGATGACCGAATCATTGAGAAAAATCAAGGAATTCACTTTAAGAGGGAAGCACCTGGTCTCTAATTCAACGGCTGCATTTTTATGCATATGTTGTTGTTAAATTTCAAGTGCAGTGCGGTGCGTGCAGTGAAAATACGAGTACACCTTTTCTCAAAACAGGGTGTCTGCTAAAATGTGCAACATTGTTATCGTGAACGCTTTTTTTAAAAAAAACATATCTATGGGGATCAATATCATCACAAACATTCAAAACACTTTGATGGACATGCTTTCGTGGGTAGTGGTATGTACGAGGTCTGTTAGATTAGACAGCATCATTTTCTTGACAGCATGTTAATCCCACAGCATGGATGGAACATCCTGCGTTTCTAATAATATAGATTATCGGATGCAATGAAAAAACTTGGATCTCATGGTTGTACTGGTAACTGGTACAAAATTGAAAGGATGGAAAAGGAATAGGCACCTCCAAAAGTATTGTTCTTGATTGAATCTTCTTCATTGGCGTTCCTAAGTGATCAAACGCCTTCAAATACGCACGTATGCAACACTGATACCAACATTTTACTCACCTTTCATCTAACAGCGACAAGTATCCTCTCACTTTAAAAGTAGCCTAAAGTTCCTTTTAACAAACTTTAATTGGTAGTGAATCTTTAGAATGACGCCGGAAAACAATTCGACGGCATGGGTAAGTCGGCAATCAAATAACCCGGTTTCCGACATAGCAGACTTCCTGTCATACTTTATTTTTTAAACGGAAAAATACTCAACGGCAATTTTTTATTTTCCATCTCTGTGCGAAGAAAATTTTGAATAAATTTTAAGGAATGATGTCAATTGGTTCTCCGTTAGAAAATAACACCGTGAACGAGATAATTACGTGATTGCGGACTTACGCCGTCGAAGTACGAATTAAAATGAAATGAAGATTAAAATAAGCGGACGATTACTCAGTGATCCGTCGGATTAGATGTTAGATGTTAAAACAATAACAATCTTTTTGTTGTTTGAAGATTCCGTGATGTACTAACTTTCGATTTTCCCTCCTAAACTGTTCACGACTCTTCCCGGGAGAGCGCGCGTTGTGTAAAAATGCGGCGCGACGGCACGAGTTGTGTTATTGGAATTAACGCCGAGATATGTGTTTTGAGTTCTACGTTTTTAGGTGACTTCCAGATTTTTTCCGACTGAAGTATTTTGATAGCAGATAATGGGCATCTACTACACTTCATTTCTGCAGCTAACTGAAAACCGCCAAAAATCGAGTTATGTGATTGCCGACTTACACTGTTTATATATATTTGGCCACATATTGATTCATAATCGTAAGCATGATTTCTTAGTTGCTTGTAGTTACATGCATGGTTCCTTGTAATCGCTTATCTTCAGCCATGTAGTGTAATTTTTTGTATTTTCGCTATTTGCTGTATTTATCAATATACCTCTGAGGATGATCAAATTATGATTGGAAAGCTTAAGGCAATAGACATAATTAGAAATGCGCAGTTATTTGGCTAACCTTTTTATTTTTACCATTGTCATTGTTCTAACTGTGAACCACACTACGTTCAGTTAGGCGGTTTTGGTCCATAGTCCTCGATGTACCTAAGCCTCGATTCACGGAGCATAAATCGTGGCAGAGTGATCACGCGGATAAAAGGGCACCTGGGGAGGGACAAATATATTTGGATACCATCTTGGTTTTCTCCGGCGATGTGCGTTGGAACGAGAGCTCAAAATACGTTTTTCGTGAGTTGTCATTGTAACAAAAAATCCGAGGAAATTTTGGTGAGCTAAGTGTGCTCCCCCCCACTTTCCAGAAATCCAATAATTAAAAATTACTCATTTTACTGCTTTGGTTGCACCTATAGTTGCGGCTGAGGCAGTCTTGACGTTTGTTTACCATCAGGAAGGAAAGGAGAATTCGTCGCTCCTCTGACGTAAGGGCGTGTCTTGATTTCCGCGGTGAGCCCTAGAGAACACGGATTTACATGCAAAACAGGGCTCACGTCGAAATAAGGATACACCCTTACGTCAGAGGAGCGACGAATTGAATAAGCGAGCACCTTCACTCATGACAACGCGGACCGGATAGAATGACTCACCAAAACTTTTTTATGCGTTC